CCAGCATGAAGAGATGGTTTCTGAGTAAACTACACCCTCCTGTGTTGTGCATCCCTGTAGATTACCCTGTTTTGGTTCCTTCCGTAACAAGAGTGGACATTATATCAATAACATAAACATTTTGTATGTCTGACCAGATGCCTTTCAATTTCTCTCTCCTCTGTGCACTCTTTATTCCACAAAAAACAAAAAAAACTCTTTCTAAAATATCAAAATACTGTGTACAATTGTGCTTTTCTGTAGCTAAGAACGTCTCTTATGCTAGTTTATGCTTCTTTAAAGTTTGTGGGTGGAAAATGCTTTGAAAATAATCGTGCTATTTTTTTTGATGAAAAGAAGGACATAAAGAAAAGCAAAAACCGGCAAAGGATGAAGAAATGAAACTGCTAAGGCAGAGAAGGGGAGGATTATCAGTGGGCAGAGTGATGTATAAAACTGTTAGATTATAATAATGATCATACTTTGGAGTGGTTGCACCTGCTGCTACCCTTCAGCTTTGCTCTGCAAACATGACTATCAGCTCTTCATAGTTTGAAAACCGGTACTATTATAAGTAGGATTGAGGGATGGGGCTAGTGTATAATTTTGTTTATAATTTGAGGATTCCTGTTTTGGGCAGCATGGTAGCACAATGCTGAGCATTGCCACCTCACAGTGCTGGGGCCCTGGGTTCAATTCCTGACCTGGTATGCTACTGTTCTGTATGTGCTTGTGTAAGTTCCCTTCGTGTTTGTATGGGTTTCCTCACACAGCCCTAAGACTTAAGGTAAGGTTCTGTGACTTTTGTAATAAAAAAGGCTCTGGCATGAGTGTGTGCATCTCTGTGCGTGCCCTGCAATGGTCTGATGTCCCGTGCAGGGTGTATTCTGCGTTTTGCCCGTTGCTTGCCGAGTTTGGCTCCAGCTTCTCATATAACCCTGTATTGGACAAGGCGGTTTAGCAGCTTTCGGTATATGCTGTATATATTTCCGCCCTTGTCCCACTGCTGTTCTTTTTGATACTGGGAACTCCAATTCCTTCTTAGTCCCTAGTGGCTTACTTCTCATCTTCTGAATGACTGCAATATTGCAGTGGGGAATAAATGATAGCAGATGGCTCTGCAAAGAAAACAGACTAGAGAGACATGAAAGCCTCTCAATGCAAGATGTAACTAGTTCCATAAATGCACTCGCTTCACCCTGTATTCATAAAATTAATGGATTTTTCCTTAAGGCTTTCCATGTGGTAGGGAATGGACAACTCCAGTCATCTGGGTACCTGGGAATCATCTGATTTTCAGTACATTTTTCTTCCGCTAATTATTTGTGGAAGAGGTCAAATAAATAGATTTATTTATTTGAGTTTAAATAAAAAACTCTTTGAGTTTAAAAATTAAAAACACTCATTAACCTGGCAGTGATCAGGCCTTTGAGAACTAGGGTTGCCCATCCCTGTTTTAGCCCCTTTCCTTTTTTTTCTCTTTATGGAACCTATCATGTGTATCAGTCAACTATTCAGCCAAATGAAATTGAAATGCAAGGCTTTTGTCACATAAAATAGTATTGTATGCATTTCTTTCTTTCACATATGTTTATCTATACTGAACAAACAGTATGCATATACTGTATGCAGAAATAATATCTTACTACAAATCTGTATCAATTTCAATATGCATCTATCTATAATATTAATTATACAATCTATAAGCTTTTATGCTCCCCATAATTTCAGAACTCATTATGTACTGGCAGCCCCACTATACAGTAGATTGGGTGCAGAATAGATTTACTTCGCTAGTTGAATTAAGGGGGAGCATTAAGTAGACCAGACTATGCAATCCTGGAGCAAAATTTAGCCAATTAATATATCTATTTTCATGAACCATTGTACTAGGGATATGAGTTCTTTAATGATCAAGTAACCTGGACCTGCGTTTAACTTCTCTTCTGAAGGATAGTACTTGCTACCTTCAGTGTTCCTGATCACCATACTGGGGCATTGATTTTGAAATTCTGTCTCCAGTCCCCGTACTAACCAGATCCAGCTTGTACAGCTTCTTAGATGTAACAATGTGGTAACACTGCCGGTCTATACAGCATAGCTGTCACAGAAAAATAGAAATAGAAAATAGAAAATAGAAATAGAAACTTTTTAAATTATGAAATTAAATGAAAGAGAAGTCTCATTTTCTTGTATTAACTTCTAAAATCTGAGAAAAGAACCAATGTAATTTTTAGTGGAATCATTACATTTAAAAATTTATCTTGAAATCTGGCCTCAGCAAAATGCTTTTCAAAACTGCTTTCCTGTATTTTAAATGCTTCAACGAAAACATACATTTCCCTGAAAAAATGCAACAGCTACAGTACATATCCACACAGCCCTGACAATCTTTTACTAAAGTATAAAGTGAACCTTTATATAACTTAACTTATACAATAAGATCATAAGATAAAGTTGAAGATTTGATATAGAAGTTGTTTAATATATGTGACATTTTGTTTTCGAAGATGTTTAAGAAAAAAAGTGATGTGAAACCAAGTGCTATACATTGATGCCATCTGCTGACAAATTCTATAGCTAAACATTGATAAATTCTGTGTAGACAGTTGCCAGCAAACTGTACAGTAGCAAATAGTGTTTCATGTCTATAGATTTGAATATTAATCGAGATAATGTTTATCAGTTTGCTGAACTTCTGGTTGATATTTCAAAATACATTATGGAAACAATAACATCAAATGTAACATCAAATAATGTAACAACAATAACATCAAATAACATTTGATGTTATTTTTTCAATACTGTATTTTGAAATACACTATCATTTATGCCCACCTGAAATACAGGAAAAGTATAGGAATGTAGTATAGGAAAATATGTATCCATTGTCAGTTAATGTCATGTTAATGTCATACCTGCATGATTTAGCATTTTCTTGCTTTTATATCACTATAATGGAGAACAGTATATGAGTTCTAAGTTAATAAGCATAGAGTGGATGAGACCGTAATGAGAACTGAAGTACAGTATAGGAATTGGTTTTAAATCTTGCAAAGCTTTTAACAAAATGTCATGGTTTTCTACCTTCTGTTGTGGAAGAATATTCTTCGTGAAAGACAAATTAAAAAGTAAGCCTTAACCCTTGTAAATAATCTTTTATAGAAGAAACTTCAGGAAGAATTTTAAGTTTGTCAGGAAATAGCAGTAAAGAAGTAATATAGGTTTGTTCTGAAATGTTTAATCAAAAATATGATTACATGCTCAGTTTGATTGTGTAATTTGTCTTTCACATTCTTTTTTGAGTTCACTTGGACACAGTGTTATCTCTTTAAGATGTTTTCTGTGTTCCTGATGTGGCATACAGTAGATTGTTTTTTTTTATCTTTACATGCAGCAGAAAAGCTTCTGCAGACTTCTCCCATCTAAAAACAGAAGTATGTGGGAATGTGCAGCACTATTTACACCAATAAAGAGTAAAGTACTTTGCCAATGAATGACGCTGTTGGAGCATTGTACAAAGTGAAAAGCAGAGGGAGTCTGTTGCTCCTACTAATGGCATGTCAAGGCTTGTTTAATCATATGGAAGCCTATGGATCACATGGAACTATAAGAATAATGCGCAAGATAAAGTTAATAAGACTAAGATACTGCACATTCCGTTTTGCTTTGTAGATTGCATAAGAATGGAATGTTAGTTAACCTGTTTGAGTCAACTTACAGATCAATTTAAATTTGAAATTTACATTGATTTTCTATAGTTAAGATATATACAATCAAATATTTGTTAAGGAAAAGGATGGTTTCCTTGACAGTAGTATTCATGTAACAATACTGCCCTCTAGCTTTTAAGTTCCTGAAGAACATAGATTGTTCTATTGCTGAAGCTGTTTCCAATCTCCCTGTGACCAGCTTATTGAATGTGTAGCTGATCCATTAAACTGAAGCTAATAACTTATCAAATTCTTATGGCACCATTCTGTTGGTTTAGCAAATAGTTTACTTTAAGAACCAAATAGAAACATCTCTAAAACTTTATTGATTGTACTGAATGTTGATATCTGTATAAGAATCAAAAGAAAAAACCACAGAGGAATGAATGAGAGCTCAAAGAAAACATAAAATATGTTCTACAAATACTGTGTGGTGCAGTGCCCTAAACTTTTTCCTAAATTATCCTAAAGGCAATGGTTTGAAAAAAACGTAGGGTTTTGATGTCTCTTAACCAGTTAAACCTGAAACCACACTCACTTAGATTACCCTCCAAAAAAACATTTCCAAGAGTGGAATACTTGTCCAAATACAGAATTGTACTCTTGTTGGTATGTTCGCTTTAGTTTGGTGGACTTGCTTAACAGTTTCTGACAAATATTGTGTTTCAGTGAAGCATATTTTGCCCTCAATTGAGTGAAACGGGTTGCATTCATTCTTTGAGGAAATTCTGAACCCTAACCCTAACCTGCAAACCCATAGCTAGGGTTAGGATTCCTGCAAAACATACATTAGATATTTTTTTAGGGCATGGTTGTGTTTTAGGGCAGAAATTATATTTAGGAAAAGTGTTTCAATGATATCCGCAGAATTGTTTTCTTCCATTTTTAGCTGCACTGCATTGCTTAAATTTGGAATATTGCCTTAAGTGCACTAAGGCAAAGGTTTGAAAAAAACTTCAAATACCTTTCCAAATCTTACCTCTGGCATTGAATGTACATGCAAATTATCTAATAAAGCCCAGATTCCTGGGATTTTGCTGCCTCTTACACCAGTTAAGAATGAAACCATGCTCATTGAGATCACCTTCCATAACAACATTTCAAAGAGTAGGATACTTACAAATACAGAATTTTACTCTAGTTGGTATGTTCTCTTGAGTTAAGTGGGCTTCCTTAATCAATTAGATACATCTTGATGGCAT